ACAGGCTGGATTTAATCCTGCTAATTACAGTTTCATCAGATACAGTTAACTTTTAAGTGTCTACACTTAAAAGTGCGAGTTAATCCAAACGGCCACTGGGTCAGACGCGCTGAACTTTAGCACTTTGTCAGCTTGTTTCCAAATCGAATGAACTTGACCGTAATTGAAGTGTTTTATTTTTTTTGCCCTTCTTTCCCCACATAAAAGACCGACACGGTAATTAGCTTTAATTCTCTCGTTCCCCTCTTTCTTTTCATGGTCTCGAGTCAGAAACCAGCACATTTTGATCATTTGCATTATCCAAAGCAAATATGCTTTGAAGTTCTAAGATTTTGTAAGAAAAAGGATCTACTTATCCAGCTTGAAAAAAAAATGTTCAAAGCTGATAAATTCAGTGGAACAGATGTACATTATCACTGGATTTGCCTTTTTTCTTTTTTTTACCCTCTTCAGTCCTGTATTGGTCACAGACTACCTCATGTCCCTCTCATCCTTCAGCTCCCACCATCTCGCCTTAACTGAAGCTAACACCCTGCTGAGCCAATCCACACTTCAAAGCTCTCCCTGTATCTGCTAGAGACAAAGCACAGAGGACATATTATGGTTGTCTCTTATTTTCCTATATTCAAGTCAGTATCACGGCTCTCTTTTCCTTGCCAGTGGAAATGCAGAGATGGGCTTTATCTCTTTCTGAAGACACTTTTCTCTGTGGCCCACGTCTCCCAACAACACAAAAACACCAGCGCACACATGAACAGAGGAGATTTATCCTATTAAGGCCTCATCATGGCAGCTGTGACAGAGAAAAGGCCCCCTCCACCTGATTACATATATTGAAATGGAAAAAATAAATAATCAACTCACACAATAGTAATCTCGATTTAAAAATCTGGAGTAAGATGAAACGATACTGTGCAATACTTTGCACGGCACACAGCAATAAGACGTATTAGAGGATAAGTGGATGAAAATAATTTCAGCTTTAAATGTCTTTGATGTGCATTTCTCAGAGTGAATTATCCTCCTCTCCCTAAGGTCTGACTCCCCCCCCCCCCCCCTCTCATGGCTGTCCATGTTTTTCATTCTCTTGAGCCTTCTTACCATTTAGGGCCAAGAAGGTGAATCAGATTGTGTTCCAGTTGCAATAATATTCAACTTCTGCTGGTTTTTGTTTTTAAAAAAACACTTAAAAGGCAATACCATATTTCTTTTGTTCTACTTGATTTGAGAAAAAAACTTTTCCAATTTTAGCTGAGAATATTAGGTCCTCATATAAAACTGTTTTATTTATGTAAAAAAAACAACAACTAAGTAGTGTCTAGGGAGCAACTTTAACTTGTGGAAACACCTGTAAATTAGTACAGAGAGCTGCAATGTCCAATTATAGTCATTTGAAACAGCAAGAGTGGGTTTAAAATACACTATAATGTTTTGTGCAATGTGATTTGGATTCATCTTTGGGGAAAACAGCATCATGGTCAGTGAAGTGGCCTTTGCAGCTCTGCACTTCTGCCAATGTCGACATCCTTTCAAATAACTGAGTTTGTTACTGTTACTTCTACCAGGCAAGAAATTCAAAATTGCCCCAAACGCCGACAGAATCGCTCCGTCAAAATACAAGAGAAGAGCATTCTGAGTATAACCGGTGTGCTTATTCTCTTTTAGATTCCACATCAGCGTTATTTGCTTGAGTGGAGTGTCAATGGAACCTCAGTGAAAATGTTTGATTTGTTCTGAACACTGTAACTGAGGAGGGTTTTTAAGAAGATATAATCTTTAAGACTGATGATGAAGTTAAAGTTTTCATTTCTGCCTGGCCCTGCGCCTGGCCGCTCTGTTTGCTTCCACCTTCTGAACACCGATGTTGTCCCTGAACCGCCAGCCTTCCAGGCGACGCCCACCTCCTGCCCGGAGGACATCTGGCAGTGCCATATCCCTGGAAATGGAACAGTGACCTGAAAGTGTCCGTGTACCTGAGATCCTCATGCAGCCTGGTTAAGATGGAATATTCCTGCCAATAAAATGGAGAAAACTCAACCGGGGAAAGGTGTGCCAAGCTTAAATATAACCAATAAAGGCTTAGTCCTGTCATTTATGCCAAATCTGCTTTCACCAACTTCTAAATGAAGAGATTTAATACTAAATGTATGTTTAGGTTTGAATAGACTTCCTGAACTTATTTTCTTTTGCCAATGTGAACACAAAATAGTCAGACATTTCCTCCTCCATAACCTTTTAGGGAGATCACGCTCCTCGAACTCCCCACACCTTCTTCACGCTCCTGATGTGGAAACCTGTTGCTTTAACAAGCCGGGACAAGGACAGAAACTGGAATAATGGCCCAGTAAGGGCTGTTAGAATAGACATGTGTAACTTTCTGCATGGATCTGCATGTTACTCTGCCCAAATAAGCGTGCTGGTGAGAGGGAGCCATATCGCATGGCCAAGAGGCGGGCCCTCCGCGTTTTCCCCGTCCAGAGATAAGCTGCTAAGCTGCAGATGAAAGCGCGTGTTCATGTCGAGAGCGTGCCCTGGTGAGCAGCTGGCTGCGCTCGGACAGATCCGGGAGCCTTCTGTAACACCACATCGGATAATTGGAGACATTTTCAGTTTCAAATCCTTCACAGAAAAAACCATTTCATCAAGGTTTGGTTGTCCTAAATCTGACTGTAATGGAAAACATGTGCATGTTGAACACCAACACGGAATAAAGACTGCAGAAGCCAGTATGTATATAAGGAACAGATTAATATTTTAATAAAAGGGTACTTTCCCTTGGCACAGATCTGCTATCCAATAAATAGAGCAATTAATCAAATACAATCTAATATAAACTAAACAAAGTCATGAGAAAAGAAACATTAAGAGTGGAGGAGAAGACAACTAGGGGTTAAAGAAGTGTACAGCAAACACATTGAAAGTGTGTCCGTGTAAGGAAATAGATGAAATCATCTCTCTGTGATGAGAGGGACCAGAAAACGCTAAGCTAACTGTAGGCAAGTGAGATAGCTTGACTGTAATCATAAATAAGCAGTATGTTCATTCTACATGACGCTGGTTCAACCTTTCTGCAGTCCATTTCCTACTGTACATGAGATCTGGAAAAAACAAAAAAAAACAAAAGCATCACCAGATGACAGAGCCAGTTAGCGGTGCGTGGTTGCTGTAATAAAACACAGACTTGGCTGCTCTTTCCAAAATGACAGAAAATTAAGAAAAAGGTTGGGTGACTTAAAAATGGCCGGCCCAGATACATTGCTTTAATGGGAAAGAAACGCCACACACGTGCATGTGTAGTACCCTGCCAAACTGAAAGAGAACAAAAACAAAAGTCGTAGTTGAGCGTGAGAGACAGCTGATGATTCTGCTGCTGACAAAATCATAGAAAAAAGGAAAAAAAAAAAACTGAAAAAGATTTTTCTTCATTTTCAAAACACTGATTAACAACCATAGCATAATAAAAGACGGAGGAAATAGCAACAGCGCCAAACTGGAGAGTGTAGTGTAGTGTTGAGAACATGCTTTTTTCTTTTCTTTTTTCTTTGTTTTAAAGCTTCCCTGTACAGGAAAGTATGTGGAAAATGTTTTAAAATAACTGCTTTCCCAGCTCTGAACAAATGCTGCTGACATGTCCTTGATCAAATACGTTTGAAGTTCCTAATGTGACTTTAGATAAGCTCGTGAAGGTGAAACTGGGCATTGAATGGACTGGGCAGTTATGTTTGGTCTGTAAAACTATCTGGGTGACAGGAGTTTTAAAAGTGCCACCTGGCCGTTTGTCCTGCTCACCCTGACTCCTTCAGAAGCCCTTCACTGGCCGTGTCGAATTGGACCACCCGGCCGGACCCAACGCTGCCTGCGTGTGTCGTCTGCCAACGCGATGTGGTTTAAAGGTACAGGCCTCTGCAGCTGTGGGAGGATGCCGCCGGGCCAGAGGGCACGGCCGGCATCCTCTGCATTCCCGCCAACACACGCACGCACCGCTCCTGGGTGGACACACGCGACCGAACGCAGGGGACGGGGGTCTGGTTCCACCTGTTGATGGCTCCCTTCCTCTGCCGTGGCTGCCCTTGAGCGGGCGCTTGCACCCTGGCAGAGGACGGGTTATTTGTCGGAGTGGCGCTGGGAGGGGCTGAAACGGAGCAGCAGAACTGACTCAACGCTTTCACCATAGCAACTCCTAGATAACAGGTAATGCTGTGGTTCAAACATCTGCATGTCAGGATGCACACACACCCACTGCTGCTGCTGTAAAGCGAGGGTTATTGGTGAAGTGGACACTGTGGGCCAGGCCCAGCAGTATCCGGCACCAGAGGGATGAGACAGCTGAGGGAACCTCATTGGCTGAGGACAGCGGTGAAAGACCGGCTGATGGACAGGACGACACCACGGAAACAGGGAGCGCCTATTTGCTAACACAGGCGGACGGCTGAGCAGCGCTGTTCAGAGCGGGGGCCGCAGTCACCCAGCCTCTGCCGCCGGGTCGGCCAGAAGAACCGCAGACAGCGGCCGAGGCCCAACCAGACATGCGAGGCTCCCGGTGGTCCAGATAAAGACGCAGCTGAGAGGAACACGAGCACGGCAGCCCCAAACAGTGAATACAAAGATATGGTGTCATCGAGCTTATAAAAATCGATAACAATATTCATATATACCGTATGTACAGCGAATGTTAATTCATAAATGTAAGAAGCTTTTCTGCATTTCACGACGCCACACTATGCTGCGATTTGTCCCTCCTTTAAAGGTCAGCTGAGAACAAATCGCTGAATGCTTCATTTTAAAAAACAAACAAAAGTAAGAAAAGTCACGGTTACATCAACAGTTAGGATGAAATCAGAGGTAGCAGCAGATTTGGGATGTCCCACCATGTTTCCACACTCTCCGCTCGGTTTTGCTAACAGGGTATGGCGCGTTCGACTCGTCTCGTCTTCATTTTCTGAAACCCCGCCCGACAGCCAGCTTTAAATACTAACACACCCATGGGTGCATTTCAAGTGGTTTTCAACAGACACCAGTGTCGTGCCACTCAGGTCCTCACACACACACACACGCACACACACACACACACACAGTTTGGCTGCGTCCACTTCATTGACACAGTATTTCCAACACATTCACACCTTGCCCTGCTGTTCCATCACTTATATTCCTTCATGTAGTCTCCTGTTTAAATCAGTCTCTTTTTCTTTTAGTCCTCCTTCTCCTTTTGGTTTAGTGGTCTGGGAAGAGTTGTGGTGCTGGTTTCCAGGTGTGCGGTTCGTCGGGTGGAGGATCACAGAGGCAGGAGCAGGGGTGGGTGCGAGCTCATCGGTCCCTCTCCGCCCGCTCTGGAGTCTGGCCGTGGTCCTTGCTCTCAGAGTGCTGCGCTGCGGCCCTGAATCTTCTGTTCTGCTGCTCGCCCCAGCTTCTGCGTGTCTGACCCACCCCCCTAGAACACTGGTTAAAAACGTCTCAGCACTGGGACGCCGCCCCGCCCCCCCGTGTTCTGAGCCCTGCAGGGCCCGCCGCACAGTTTGAGGAAGCACTGCCCGCTGGTCATCGCTGGGGTGCGTGCTTAGCTGTCCCAGGCAGGTTAGAAATTCAAGACTGGTAAAAGTGGTGGTAGTGGTGATGGTGTTCATGGTGGTGGTGGTGCTCATGCCGCTGCACCACCTGCGCCAGCCCACCCTCGTAGAGCAGCACGCTGGGGAGGTCCCTCACCTGCTCCTTCTCCACCACCGGTCCCGGAGACACCAGCGAGCCCAGAGCCCGGTAGCCCTGGCTGTCCTTGGTCCGCTGCTTGTGTTTGCGGTACGGCGCTGCAGATTGGTGGGGGGGCGTCTGGCTGGGGAGGGCTGGGGGAGGCGGGACGCCTCTGTTCCTCATCACCCTGCCGCTGACCTGCGCCGGCGGGGTGCGGCTGTGGTTCTTGGGGGAGCGGATGGCGTGCCTTTCTGAGTCTTGGCCTCTGGGCCGGGCGGGGTGGAGGCTGTCGGGGATGGCAGCGTCCACGAGCGTCTGCAAGCGGCGGTGGTGGGGGTGGGCGTGGCCATTTTCTGGTTCGTGAGAGCGAGAACGGGCCTGGTTGGATGAACGTGTCTGAGTTTCTGCTTTAGTCGGTTCTGCAACAGGGGCTGAGAGAAAGACAGAGAGAGAGAGAGTTAGTTTATACAGAATATAAACTCATGCAAACCAACAATCCGAGTCCAATGTTAAAACGTACTACATATACCAAGAACAAACAGTTTTACAACAATAGTATCGTCTCATTTTAGTGTAGGCGCTTCTAAATGTGCATTTCTTTCCAAATGAGATGTAAACTCTCTGAACCCTTTATGGAAATTTAAAACCCACTGAAGAGTAATTTACCAAGGCCAGCGCAGCAGAGTATCTCCCAAGAACAAAGCAAATAATCTGACTCCTCACCAGAATTTCACTGTTTGCCTTCTTTGCTCAGGCTCCAACAAGTTTCACAACACTTCAGTTTTTTACACACAATGTGGCTACAGCCCTGCTCTTGACAAGTCATAGAGAAGATTTGTGTTCGTGCTTTTCAACCAGAACCAACATCAAAATATTTGCATGTCATCACTGAGCAGCAGATCAAGGCTGCTGCTTATTAGAGCTAATATTTCCCCTCACAACAGGCCATTCAGCTGATGGGCTTCAGCCGCCAACACTTGATGTATTGTGCTTGCCTGAGCCCAGATGTTTGTGCTGGCAGGGCGCGCAGTGGGCTGGTAGTTCCACCTAATGGCTCTAAACAGGTGCCGCAGTAATGAGGGGCCCTGGATGCGGCTTCAAAGGCTCCGGGTCTGCCTTCCTCCCTCCAGCCCCCGCCCCGGGCCTGGCCCCCGTCCACTCACCGGTCCCAAAGCGGGATGTGTAGTTTTCTATGCCTGCCAGGTCCAAGTAGTGGTTCCTGCGTTCCAGGTTCTCATCCACACAGTGGCGCTGGCAGCCGGGCTGGGTGTGGTGGTCACTGTGGTGGCGCCTGTGGACACGAGCAGCACCTCTCATTAGGTCGCAGCATGGGGAAAATAAACAACAGTTGCTTGTGACCCAAAAGAGGCAGGAGGGTTGTTCGATGAGTGAGATTGTGATTGGAAAATCACAGGTTTAGGCCATGGCTGGGAAAGTGCTGACTCTGCGCTGGGTACTCCTCCTCTGAGCAGAGGAGGAAGTGAATCTGTGCAAAACTTATTACAGGACTACAGAATCCAATTGTGGACTGTACCCTTAAACAACCACTGTTGGATTTTTTTTTTCCCTCTTTAATGAGCCGCAAGTTAAAGTCAGCAGAGTTTAGAGCTGAGTTTACCTGAGGAGCGCACGAGACTTCTTGTCTGCACTCTTGGGGTCTTCGATGCACTTGTCATTTTTCTCTCGGGGGTGGGACATATCTGTGTGTGTGTGAAAGACAGTAGGCCATTATCAAAGAGCGCAATATGGAGCACACAGCAACACACACGTACACGACAACAGTCACACAAGGCCCAGAAGAAAGCAACCTTTGTTTTAGGGTTTCACTTTGAAGATCTATAGAAGAGGAAAAACAAGTGCTTCATTTATTCTATTTTCAACTCCCAGCCTCTTACAAGGCGTGGAATAGAATTAAAAAAAAAAGAAAAAGAAGAAAAAGCACCCAGACTTCAGAAATAGTTTATTAAGGAGGTCTGATGCTGTTTGAAATTAGCATGAGGGCGATATTTTTTTTCAAAGCTCGCTGTCTGTATCTCCACAGATATTTATAGTAGACACAATAGGACCCAAGCTCACAGGAATATATACTTTTTGAGCTATTTTTCCCTGACTACTTGTTTACTAAGTCATCAGTCAGAAAAGTTAAGTTGAACGCCGCTATATTTCCCCGGCAGCTCTGAGGAAGTGGGGGGTTGGGGGCAAAAGAGTGAGGGAGAAAAGAGAACGTTGGAGAAAAGAGAAATGGCTGTGGTTATCAAAAGGATTCGGCACATCTCTTAAGGTTTCTTTTAGAGTATTGGAAGGCGCCGGGGGAGGGTGGGGGCCTGGCTCTGTCACTCCCGTCATTAAAAAAGCACCCCATTGAGTGGGAGAGACGGGGAGAAGCCGAACAAAGCTGTGACAGGCCTGAAGCGGCCGTCTTTCTGCAAGACAACAAACATGGCTCTGAGTGAGCCGACGGCAGGCAGCACAGGGGGAAGCCCGGGATGCCCCGTATCCTCCGCCACTGTCGCTGGCTTTACCTGCGGCGCCCTGCGTGCAGCTCCTCCACCGCTGGCTGGAATCAGGAGCCACCGACAGCTTGACCCGCAGAGTCTTGCTGTTGCCCGGAGAGTGGTTGACGGAGGCATCTACAACTTCATAGATGGTGTGGAGCAGGCTGGTGATGTCCTACAGGAGAGAGGAGCGTTAAAGGGCCGAGATACAAGCTCTGCTCTGTATTTGGGTTCCATGTCACATTTTGGGAGCAGAGAAAAGCCTGAGCTCCGTTGGCTGTGCGTTGGTGTGAGTTCTCAGGCTGTTCACTGTATGATGTGTCACATGTGCTTTAACAGTCTTTGACAGCTATCTCTCTGTAAAGAGTAAGACCCGGCAGAAGGGAGGGGAATGAGCAGTCAGCTGGGTCTTCATGTGCCCCTAAACTAGTTAACATGCATAGAAAGTACAAACTGAGGTAGAATAAATAGTTTGTGACATACAATTACGTTATTCCAACAGTGTATACCTCACAAAGGACTATTCTGACTTCTACTGGGGATCGATCCACATGCTGGTTCCAGATTAAAGATAAATTAAATAAATGTTTCCTGTGCCGTTTCCATCTGCTGTTTCTTTATTTGTGAGAAGGAATTAATAAAAGAGTTGGAGGGGGGGAGCTTTCCCTTCCCCCTCCAAGCTCCTGCCTGCCATCCCATGAGCAGCGGAGCCACAGGCGATGCCAAAAACCTGCAAAGCCAACCCCACAGAGGACAGCTCCAGTCTCTCTGCGCCGTTTCAAGTAGTTCTCAAAAATAAAATAAAACACACTGGGTTTTCTGGGTGTTCTCTCAAATCAGCGCGCAGACTGAACTAGATTTGGTGCTTTAGGAGAGGCTCAGTTACTGTTTTTGGGCGTGCTTGTACCTTAAGTGAGGGGGATGTCGCCCGTCTTGTCAAAGTAAATTCAAAGAAATGTTTCTTGGATTCTGTTGCGTTTGTGTGATAACGCTAAATGTTTGGAAGTGGTTTCTTTCCCGGGCGAGGATTACCTCTCTTGTAACTTTGCCACTGTTGTCAAAGTCGTAGAGGGTGAACGTCCATTCCTGTCTGTTGTCCTCCTCGACGGACACAGCGCACTCCAGTTCCTGAAAGGGGCAGAGCACAGCGCTCAGTATCGTACACGGTGCATGAGGGTGCGTACATGTGGGTGTCCTGCCATTGCCCCAGTTTCATCCAGAGAGGGGAGTAATAAACTACCCGCTCTGTGTTAACACTCACTTCAAACTGGAGCTGTTTCTGTGGCCCTGCGGGAGATTGGCTGTCCCTCTCCTGCATCTTCTCCTCCACACAGCAGCTGTCTGTCTTCTCCGGGGGTAAAGCCACTGCGATGGCACACACGCGCACACACACACACACGCACAAAGATAAAAGGGAGAGCTTGAGGATGGAAACGCTGGATGCAGTCATAACCTGGGGATATGTTGTCGCCTCCTAGTGTTTCTTGTAAGCTCGCGCTTCTGAGTTTGTCAGCTGAAATTAAGACGTGTCACACCTTCAAGTGCTGCCCGTAGCAAAGGAATTCAACCAAACTCACCCTTTTGGTCTAACTTTTAGAATCGTATTTGTATGTTTCTATCATGTTAGCCATCAACAACAGTACCATTCATAGGAGGTGCAGCACATCAGTGGGCTCTGCATAAGTCATATATACAAAGTATCACTGATTTTCAAATCAAAGGTCATTGCTTAGATTAAATTCATTTGTAATTTACAGTATTTATGATCAGGCTAGAAGGCCACGGGAAATCAAAGCACAGTGTGGTTCCCAGAGATTTTTTTCTTATGTTATTAGTAATCAAAGCACAAACTATCCAAAGCAGTGAGGTCAAGCTGTAACAGCTTTTTTTTCTTTTTAGGTGCCTCTATCAAAATATGTCCGATTCCATTTTTTTAAAAACTTCTAAATAAATGTTTCATCATAGCTAAGCAAATTAAATATTCCATCAGTTCAGAGAGTAAAGAAATGGAATTCAAATGTTAATGAATGCACATTAGCCCCACACGTCGATTGTCTTCAGCTCTTTCATTTACACTGTAAGGGAATGTCAAACATGATTCTGAATTACATAACGTGCCTAAAATAAACTTTCAGGGCATGTTATGTGACAATTTACATTCAAATAGAGGAACGGAAACAGCGAGTGAGCATCAAAAGCTCTATAGGAGGCTCAGTGCAGCAGGGCTCGTCCTTCCACCAGAATAACGCTCACAACTCGATCGCACAGATTCACAGAGCGGCCCAAAGGGAGTACTTATCTGCCACACACGTTTTCCCCCTACAGAGTACCTGTGCAGTCATTTCTTTACCTCCTAAAGTCACTGGCAGGAATGGGATCAGCAGCAAAGCTAAACACCTCAGTATTACATCAAAAACCAGATGAAAAAGGAGAAGTCGATAGCTTAGCGGGGGAGATTTGTCAGACTTACAACAAAAAAAAGTTCCTATACAGGTCCTACAAAACAATTTAAAGACTACGACTGGAATCAAGCAAAGAAACTAAATTGAATGACACACCTTACTTGTTCACAGGTAACTAAAAAAAAATACATTTCAGTTTTATGACAGCTCCTTTTATTTGATTTGGCCAATTCCATTCATTGCGTTTTTTTCTTTATTTAATAGAAGGAATAGATTATATATCTCTGAGGTCATAGTTAAAGGTGTTATATTTTTGGATCCCTCTGTATACATGGTTGTCTGTTCCAGTGGCCAAAAATAACCTGACAGCCACTGTCTAGTTCAGTGCTTTGGTTTCAATGTTGGATCCTGGCCTGGCTCTGAAAGCCACGGGATATCCTTCCTCACTTTGAAATCCAGCATTTGTTTGACACTTGAGGCCGCAGATACATGCAATGTGTAACTGAGACCTGGAAGGCGTTCGTGTAACCGCCTTTACAAGTTCGTATGAGTTACAGTTGGCCATTCTTACTTCATCCTCGTAGATGTTTGCTTATATTTCCCCCTGCAGAATTCTTTTTCTATCCTTGGTCATTTAACTTCCACCCAATCCAAACAGAGTACGCTCACACCCGTGAAGCAACACAGGCCACACCTCTCTCTCCACCCTATCCGGCTCCACTGTCCTCCTTCCACACTTTGAAGTCGAATTCTCCAACCTTTTGGAAGAAGATCAGACCAGCTGTAAAACAGAATCACTAATTAATTAAGCCGAGTCAAATCTGAAACACTGTTTGTTTGCTCGCCAACCGAGCAGACACAACAGCCCAATTTCTTTCCTCCAGATCCAACGCAGATCAAAGCAGACCTGTCTCATCCCTGGGCAGGAGAAAATGCCAGAAATGAAAGGCATCATCCCAGGGAGCTTTTACCAACTTTTTGGAGAGGAGCAGCATTCGGGGTCCTGCTGTTTGATCATCTGAGGTGCTCAAAGGGAACATTGTGCACGGGGGCAAATCTGTTCAGCGGCGAGCTCAATATGGTGATGAGATACTCATCTCGGAGCTAATGAAATTCCAGGAGGAGTAACAGTAATCTGCTATCACCCTCCTCCCAGTTTGACCCCCTCCCCATCATAGACATAAGCCGACTCTTTTTGAGTGAAGCTGCCACCGGGGGATTGGCCACACATCAGATTGGAGAGGTCGGATGAGTGTGGTCGAGGCTGGCATCCTTCACGCCGGGCGCTCTTTGACAAGCCGGCTGCGAGTAGAATCGCTTACCTCACACACCCACAAACAACGCTACTGCGAGCTGCTAAATGTCATAGAACATCCAGTCAAACTGGAATACTCTACCCTTATATTCCTTGGTATACAGATGCCAAATGATGGCCGGGATGACATGGTCTCTGTCGCCGTGGATCCTTTCCATCCCCGTCTCAGAGGATAGACGGGTGTGGAAAGAAACCATCTTAATTCTACTAATTTTGAGGGAAACACGCTGTGGTGACTGTGTGCGATTAAATAATAAATTTGAAAGTAAAACTCGACAGCTGCGCCCTCGTCTCCGGTTAACAAAGGGTTAAAAAGCATCATAACAAGCCCGTTCAGGCTATTCCTCTGATGTAAAGTATCCCCAGGACTCTTTCATCATTTTCTGGTCGTCTTTCTTTTTCCTTTTTATCCTGCAAAGTTCTTCACTAATCCCTGCAAAACTTTCTTTGGATGTGCTTCCTCATAGCCTGAAGAAAGAGTCTTTTATGTGTACTAGTTGTCCTATTGTGCTTGTTCTTTCCGTTTCCCTTCTTCTTTTTTTACTTCACTCTTTTTTGTGGGATCACCGCTTTACATTATCGTAGAGGTGGCAATAAGTCCGCCACAGCAGCTTGTTAGCACGGGGAGGCACAAAACAGCTAATCGTGTAAACATCAAGGTTGAAATCAAACATTTGTTGATTTTCTATGAAAAAAAACTATAACAAAACAACAGGAGGTCAGGCCACATTTCTTCAGCAAAAAGTCTAATCATTTAAAATGTAATCAAGCTTTATTCCTTCTTCTGCTCTTGTTAATATGAAAATGAAGGCCGGCATCTTGAAGGATTTAAAAATATTGTCACATAAACCATGGCATCTTTTATTCCAGCCAGCGATCACTTTCCCTGCTAATTATGGTGAACCAACACCACTGCTTAGTGTAATTAGCAACATCTGTCTTGAGATTGGCACAGACTTCGATTTAGCCCTTCACATCCCCTCAAACTGTTTTAGCTGGAAATACGACCCCTCATCTAATACATCTGGTCTCATAAAGTGAAGCAGAACTGAATTGAAAGTGCTTTTTAGGCTCCCAAACTCTGAGCTGGTCTTCTTCAAATCTATCTGCCTGCACCTCACGTCCATCACTTATTCTTCACCCAGAGCCCTTAAATCCAGGATCACATCACATCAGGGGGAAAAAACACAGAGGAGTGGAAGCACTTTGCAGAGCAAGTAACGGAAGAGGATGGATGAGAGCCGAGGGAGGTGGAGAGGCAGGAGGGTAAGCAAAAGGGGGACCTCACTGGCACATTTTAGGGCTTAGGTGTGGAGCAAAGAAGAAAGTAACGAAAAAAAACACACAAGGGCAATTTCAAGTATAGTTCTCATGGATTTCTGATTAACTTAAAAAAAATTAAAAACACACTTTTTCTAAATCTTCCATTTCCATAAAGAGAATTAAACCAAATCAGAGATCTGAGATGGTGCACTTGGCTCACCTTCTAAACGATAATGTTCATCCCCAATCCTCTCAGCACAGGCGTCGGCCAGGGAGTTCTGTAAAGAGAAGGCAAGAGAGAATAAAAATCCATTTTACTGTTTCAAGTCATGTAAAAGACGAAGCCTTCATATTTTTGTCACACAAAAGCAAACAGCTTTCACAATGCATGTCCACAGCAGAGCCTTCCAGCAGAGAGTGGCATGCCTGCCTTAAAATTACAGCTTTTATATGTCTATATATGAACAAAGTTTGACAAGTCGTGCGCAGAGATTAAACAGTGGTGGAAAGTTTAAGAGGAAGGTAATTGCAGGACTGAAACAAACTGAGCTCCAGCCTGGCATTTAGATTTTAGACTGTAAAGAAAGCATATAAATCAAGGGGTGCAGTTGGATCTGTGAAAACGGGCTGAAACTATTACTATTTCGGTGGTGGACTGGTTTTGGGGGCTGTTTTAAATCCTGCCCGGACCCCTCTCCCAACGGCTCTGCCTGCCGGTGCATACCACGGATATTGGAGGGACATGCGATCCCCGGACTTTGCTGTGGAAAGTCTCCGGCTCAGGTGTCTGTGTGGCATGACATTTGTTGGGCTGATAAACCATTACTCACATGCTGACAAATGCACAAACATTCACAAATTCTTGTACACACACTCCCGCACATTCACACTCTTCAGTGGAAGTGTTTGTATAAGTTTTAGAAGCAGACCCTGGACGCTTAGAGAGCTGGACAGTTGATCTCTAAATATGAAGCATTAAGTTTGTTTTTGCTATAATAACAATAATGCAACAGTATTGCAAAAACAGTTAATTGCAGTTGCTTCAGTAGATCCATTTTGTCATTTTGATAAGGCAGACTGCCTTCACTTTTCTGTTTAATGTGCTGAACACTCAACTGAAAATGACAAGCCGGCAAACACCTGCCTAAGTTATTCCACTGGTGTATTTCAGAGAGGCCAAAGGTTAGATGTATGGTTCGACCCACCCAAGTCTAAAGCTGGAGACAGTGCAGCGCTGTGGGTGGCCTCAGGGAAAGTGGAGAGTTCAGGCTGATATTCCTGAGCAGGGAGTCAGAATTAAATTGTGCCTGTTGGGTTTGTGGTCTGAATGAGTCAATGCACAACCCCATGGCTCTGTGAGCCTGCTGCACTATGGTGCAACTAAAGGGTCACTATTGCCCGGTGATACCTGCAGGATTAAGTCACGATTAGACAAAGGGATTCTTTAAAGATGAGAAACCCGAAGAAACTGCATGGTGCTTATCCTATCAAGTATTTATTGGGGTGAACTGGATTTAAAGAATTTGCATCTAATTCAATTTGCACAGCTCAAACCAAGTTCTACTAAGGTGTGGTTTTTGAGAACAAAGTCGAGGGGCCTTCAGACCCTGGTCAGGTGACTTCACAGCATGTGCGATTGTGAAAAACTTTAAGCAGCTTGCTTCAACAAGTGCTCATATTTTAAATCAAGTTGCTGGTGGGAAAAAAATGCAAGAACAACTATCTAATAGCTTTTGTATGGAAGAAAAAAAGCTTATTTTTCTCCTAGGCCTCCTGCAGCGTGCTTAAACAGGCTAATTAGCCATGTGCGGGTGCTGTCTGGGGACTTTTAAGTCTGGTTGCAAAGCCCTGCCACTCTACTGCTATTTATTCAGAATAATATCACTGTTTAGCGTTTTAAGACTGAACAAATAGTAAAAAGTCTTGTTTTACGGAGCCTTACTGCAAAGCTGACGAAGGTCTGGGAGGAGATGCACAGCCACTGGTCACAAACTTCACAGATTCTGATAGTTTGGAAAACATCCTATTGGTACAGATTACTATCACTGAGGGAACAGTATATATCGGGGGTTAAGATGATGGGGCCGCTTGTTGAGCTCCATTATACAGTTTTATAAAAGCAGGTTAATGAAACAGACCCCTTACAGACTTTTTTTTTTTTTAAATGATGGTTACTGTTAAGAAGATATGGACCCTTTTTCTGCTCAAGCTCTGTTGGCAAGCTGGCTGGCCCATGTTGATTTGCTCAAACAGACCACAACCAACCAGTCGCTGTAAATTCAACCACGCTCACACGAACACTGGCCTCTCCTCCCACTAAGTTTCAAAAAGATTAAAATCACTGCAATAGTCAATCTTGGATTCACAGCGTCTTGAATGTGTTGCAGTTTTGTTGATGAATGGTCCAAAAGTTTATGAGAGGTTAGCCAGGAACATGAGAAACGGGGGGAAGAGGAATTTACTAATTGGTTGTTGTCTGAGTTGATGGATGGGAGCCACATTATTAGCTTCTTTGGGATTGGCTTCAGTCATTAAGAGGGAAAATATCCCATGCTTTTTCACTTGACACCCCAGCCCACATCTCTACACACGCATCTCTACACACTGGCATGCACTTCCTGCTCAGATGAGAGCTCTGCCAAATGCACAGAAACAAATAGGGGGTAGATTTTTCCTTAAAAGGATATTTTTCTTTGCCGTGAGGAACATTAAAGTACTGGCACATTGTAATAAAACCACTTATGGTTGATTAGCCTCCAGTTTAATCAGTGATCGATCATTTGAAGAAATACCACACGTCACGAAATGAAGGAGTTTGCTTTGTTTCTAGGTGTCCTGCTCTGCCACCGGTGGTGGTCCCAAAAACAATGAAGCTACAGACAAAAGAAGGCTTTAAGTAAGACAAATACCATTTCTGGATCAACAGCAATTTGCTTCAAAAGGCTAAAAGCCGAATGAGTCTCCCTCTTAACCTTTAAACTTGATTTTGTTTTTTCTGCTAAAAGAGACATTCTCAGACCTTCTCATATCAGGTTGACAAGGCTGACCACAGATCAATCAAATTGAGACACAAAAGCCTAATAAACTGACAGAATTTTGTACAGAACACAAATTCTACAAAAAAATTATTTGATTACATGTCAAATATGAAGTAAGAAAACGGTCAAATGAAAAGGCTTTGCCTGTTTTTGTTTAAAACTGTAATGCAGGTCACAACACGTCATTTACAGACACTTAAATCTTTCATTTCCACTACAAGATTATGTTGGGGTTAAACTCTGTTAAACTCAGTGATATCAGAAAAAGAAGGTCTAGCTTTGTCTATTGTGTGTTAAATGTCTTATGTTGTCTAATTTAATACACTCAAAATGTCAGTTTAAGTATCCACAATTCTAGTCTGCAATCACTGATTATAAAACATTAATACGCTGTAGCAAAACATAATAATGACAATATCTAAAGTGTGTTCAAAACATGAACATTTCTCTCTTTGTGTCATAGTTACAGTCACAGCATTAGTATACTGTAACAGCTCCAGCCTCACAGCTTTTGGATGAGAAACTCTTAAAATCCTGGCACACAGGCTACAGAGCCACAAAAATCCGGACAAGTGTCTGTATGAAACCACAATTACTGCCGAGGCTTAAGTCTGCAGTTGTCCAGCAATGAGTTGGCCGCATTGGTCAGAGGTGCAGTGTTCGGGGCCCACAAACCGGCAGGTGTCTGATTCAGTGGGACAGGATACAACAATCTCCCAGACGTGACATTTAACGTTCTGTGGCGCCCAGAGCGTGAAGCGTTACGCTTTCAATAGCACTCAGGTCCTTCCGGGGCCTCCGCGGGGCCTTTAGGACAAGAGATTGTGTGGCCCCGGTGTGTTTTAAACTTGTTCAATTCCTTTCACCGAGAGTGATTTATTGCTACACAACAACATGGAACAGTGTGCCGGCGCCATTACAACGCCCCATCTGCATTGCTCGCCGGGGTGAGGGCCTGTTTTATTTGGCTCCCAAAACTATTTGGCAGACCTCATCAGTGGTACACTTTATAAATATGGATGTGCACAAGACAGATGAGCATGTTTAAAGGTAATAATATTTACTGAAGTGACGCCTTTGATGGGGTTATTTCTTTAAGAATAGCGCCCACTTAGACCTCCTCTGTTGTGTGCGCTGTAACAACAAAACCGGCCCTGGAACACTGAAGCGTGGACAGCTCATTCATCACCGACCCTCCGACAGGCTCCAAAAAGCAAAGCAGCTGTATCTGTGCCATTCAAACGGCAGCGCTTTAACTGCACAGCTCTACCCTCACGAAAAAAATATTCAAGGAGAGCTTAAAACGTATTTCCTTTAGGGTGTCATCATCACTGGGGAGGAACTTCGGCCCACTCTGCTTTAGAACTTGGCTCTACAATATTGAGGTCTGTGGGCATTTGTTTATTCATGGTTCACTTCAGGTCCCTTTGCAGCGTTCCAACCAGTTCCTCTCTTTTTCAGACATTTCTGGGTGGATTTACAGCGGTGGATCAGGGCCCCGTCTCAGCCGAGATTTAGCAGTTGGGCAGATGTCCAGACAGAGAGGAGGCTTCCCCCTCACAAAGTTTCAACATTTAATGTGCTAAGTGAGGCCTGCATAGTTTTGCGAGGAGCTCTCTGGGTTTTTCTGTAGTTGCTCGGAGGACTGCTCTGTCCAAATTTAGGGTGAACCTGCTGGAACATCTCAATCTTGGAAGATTGACTGAAATCTTGACTGTTGACTTCTCATCATAGGGCACCACAGACTGATGAAAAGTTTGGCTCTCTGAGATGGTTTTTGGTGTCTTTTATTGTTACCAGAGCGTTAAAGCATTCAAAACTGAATGCTCAGAAAAGCGTCAATAACCTCTGAGGGCAATTTTCACTCTCAGAGTGGATTTCATGATGTGAACATGGCTGCCATATGCCCTTTTAAATTCCATGGAAGCAAAAAGGCTATACTTAAGTTTGTCACAAACCAATTCTTCATATGCATCAGTTTTTCTTCATAATTATAACTGCATATGTGCCATATGTTCCGTTTTTAGTCATCTAAGACCACTTTTACCTTGTTTCAAAACTGAGTGGAAATTAGATTATTCAGCTCCTTATTCATTAAGCTTGAAAATTCTCCTCTACATCACTATGTGATTGACAAAAAGTTAATGTGACACTTAATATTCTAGAGGGCATTTAAGGAGTCCTCTTCTCACCTTTTACATTTTCATCTTCCAGAAAAGATTAATGATTACCCACGGCTGTTGCATAGGTATAAATTGTATCTCACTCAAAACCATAAATCAGTGTGAGCATACATAATGGAATCATCATTTTAGTGTCCTACATCAGCACTTTGTGTGATGGTCCTGTATCTACCTCCATTTCAGACATCCCAACCTAGGAAAACTGCTGTTAAAGGATCTGAAAAGAGCATTCGGCATGTGATTTTTCATGTCCTAATGTTTTCATGTCGTTTCTCCCAGCAGGGCAAAACAGAAAATGAGAAAGATGGTGAGTGTGTGCTGGCACAGATCCGACTTTGCGAGTTGGGGTTAGACAGAAGAAAGAAAGCTGCCCACAGCATCATCCCTATTGAGCCACTGCTGACACAAATCCACTGGGCCAAGCCTTTTCTCTAGGAGTCAGCGATGCCAGCAAAGGGGTACATTAAAGTGCAAGTTATACATATGTGTGTGTGACTGTGGGAAAGTCCCACAAGGCCTCTTAGTCTCTCTGCTGTCTGCCTCCATGACCTACCACACAGTCTGACAATTTATGCGGCCGACGACAGCTACCCCTGATCACGCGCCAGGGCTCAGTGGAGGCAGGCCTCAAGAGCAACGGCAGCTCTACTGGCACTCCATCAAAACTCAGGAAAAATCTCATTAGGACTGCGGCCGTGTGCCTCGTGCTCCGCACAAGAAAACACCTTTAGGACTGCGATGGTTGGAGTGGCAGCGCACAGACGAGCAGCGGCACACAAGTGCCTTTTAAGCAAAAGAGACAGGCAGAGGGACAGAGATGGGGGGGAGAGACTCTGAAACAATGTCTGCATCCCCGGAAGCCTCTCCAACGGGAGGCGGCCGAGGCAGCTGAAAGTATGATCATTAACTGTACATAAGCAGACCGGATACCTCAGACAGACATTAGCGTCATGGTTGAATGTCTTCTTAAATACACTGAGGCCTTCCATGTGCATTCGTTCCTCTATACTCTAAACCGAGTGCACTTGGCATATAAAATGATTTTGGCTGATTCTGCGTGACCTGGACAACAGCCATTAGCTAAAGTTTATGAAACATTAACATAGAAAACAGCTGTGTAGCATGGGGATTTTCAAAGGTTCCAATGCCTGCATGCAGAGGCCCCATGCTAAAAACTATCAAATAAAGCAACACGGTGAAAAAACAACAACATCTTATTAGTTTTAAAGCTGCAAATTAGTTTACTGGTGTAGTGTTACTCGCACAAGTCCTCAGCAGAGGAAATGCCCACCCACCCCTGCCCCCCCGAGTAGTAAACTGAGATATACCAGAGGCGATTTCAAAGGACTGAGCTGCACAAATCTTGGACTCTGGAGAGGTACATGTCGTGCATGTGTGTGGTAAAGGTGGCAGTGTAGCCAGGGGAGAAGAATGTGACCAGCGGTTCTCATCAAGCAGCAGTTTCGACCTGGCTCTGTGCTTCTCTTCCAGTTCTAAATGCTGGAGTTCTCCTCACCTTCCAGCAACGTTAAACAGCCCCATTCAAACCGCCACGCAGCAGTAAAACATGATGCCCCGAGATGGAGCCGAGATAGAGGGTGTTGATGTGAGGTACTGAAGCGCTGCACTGCCTCTGACTGAGGCTTCAAAGCGGATCGGCTTTCACACATGAAATAAAGATCTCAGATAATCATAAAGCAAGGCAAAGCTGACGCGAGCTGGTCCCATTTACGGCAAAAAGGAAAACGGGGACAATTTTCAGACATCATCTTCACACTAAAGAGACATGGCAAGTGAGTCTCTGCGTTTCTCTCCAGCAAAACAAGATAAATCTGTTTCTCTTTCTCTTTTTTTTTTCCATAGGTACTATCTGGCTCATCATCACATCATCCACTCAGGCGCTCTTGAATTTGCTCCGTTAGAACTGTTGAACAGATGCTTGGGTAAAATGTCAAGAAAATGTCAGAGTTTTACAATGCATCGAACAAATGCCTTACACACATCTCATGAACAGTTTGAATAGCCTAAAGGAAATCATATCATATCTATTTTACAATGCAATTTTATACCTTTGATAAGAGGCTCCATGTCTTTCCAGAGGTCACACACTGTAAATCTTTTTATGTTGAGCCTCTTATATCCACTTTTTTTACTATCTTGTGGATACCTTGTATGGAAAACATCTTAAAGAGTACTTGGTATACTGTATTTTTGGAGGGAAACAGCTGAACAAGATTATCACAAGGTCCATATAAGAGACTTGACATCAGGCTTAATCTTATTGGAAAGGACTAAAATAGTGGTTCCAACTGCAACACTTTAAATCACAACCTGGAACCCTTTTTTTCCTGGAACTAACCCGTTTTTTCTGCCAATTGATTCTCTCAAAATAAAGCCAGATATTTAAACCGAATTGACAACAGGCTAAATAATTAATAGGACAATTTAATGTCTTTGAGCTCTGCCGACTAATAAGAGCCGACGTATAATTTAACATCTTGGCTTCAAAGACTGACACCTTCCCTGCAGACTCGCCGGCCCCAGGCCTGACACCCTTCAGTCACGGCACACCCGCCTCTCTTCCTGCACCCCAGGAAGGAAATTATAGCCGTGAAGTTGGGATCCATCACCAGGCAGGTTGGAGGAAGCAGCTCTATGATTAAAGTGTGCATGGTCAGCAACACATAAAGCTTAGAGGCTTTGAGGAGGCTGCACATGCCAGAGGGCTCGCCGTGTTAACTCCAGTTCATGACACAGGTCATGCAGAGATTCACCACGCAAACATTCGCAAAAATGAGGCTGCACAGACGGGAGGAGTGGCCCGGGAGAGCTTAGAGCTGGGTTATCGTATATCGAGTCAAAAAACCGACGTGTGTGTAAATGAACCCGGGGTTTTTGCTGAGAAACAGAGAGCACTGACTCCAGTGGACCAGCTGCATTCGCTCGGAATTCATTAGTTTTGTTGTTGCTGTTCAAAGGACCAACATGAGCTGGAATTGGACGCATCCCTTTTGTAGAAAGATAGCACGCAGCCAGTAGTCATTTCTCCACGTCAGATTAACATTGCAAACACTGCTGGTCACATTACCTCACCCACATCAAAGGCAGCCTCCTGAAAGGCTCAGCGGAATATTAGCAAAGATTTACAGCCCTCATCTCCATGCTTCAGAAACATGCTGATCTGAAGGAATCTCTCTCCCCCCTCACTTTTCTTTCTGCTTCGTGGGTAAAGTTGGCCAACACTTTAATGACCCATTTACAAAACTTTTACACCTGTAACGATAAGCTTTTACAACTCAGTCAGTGGCTCGGGCACAAAGGCCTACCTGTTCCTCAAGGTAAACGTCTTTATTAGCTTTGAAAAATATGTCACCAGTGCAATTAACATTTATCACGCCAATCATCAAAGCCGTGTCTAAAAAAGAGGTAAAGAGAGGACACGAGGCATCAAGAGTCTGGTCGCTCGCTTCTTTTATGGTGTGGCATGGCATGAAATACACAAAAAAAGAAGAAAAGGTTGGCAAGAGAATTCTCACCTAAATTCCAATACTCTCAACACAATCCCCAAGGGGAAAAGCCAACCAGAGTCCGGATACCGATATATATGAATTGGTGCAACTACATACAGTATCACAGAAAAAACCATACAGGTTATCAGATATTTTCATCATTTGTACAATGTCTAGAGCTTTTTGCCAGAATTGACTGTTTAAAGGTGGGATCTGAGACACAGCCTCAGCAAGCTGTAATATTTGCTTCACCACATGTGCTGAGGGTAGTGTTGAATGTTTTGTAGACCATAATTTTGGAGCCGCATGGCTAAACAAACCAATCAAAACATGAGGAAAGAAGCTAGCAAATCATCTAGTGTGTGTCTCACCTTTCAGACAGGCTCTGATGTGAATGAATGTCATTTTGAATCTGACACCGAGCTGGAAATGGATCCTTTAAACACAGTCCCAACCAGGCGATGAACTCCACTTTGGGAATCTGCATTTCTCAAAAGAAAACTATTGTTTGGAAGAGAGGTGCACCAGCCTGTCACCGGGCCGTGTTTTACATTCTGTCTAATTTTAGAAAATGACACCCCTAGTTTCACCCCTACTTGTCTATTAGATAGTTTCCTCTCACTAATGAAAGTATTTGATTGTTTTTACCCCCATTAACAGTTTGTGTAAGTTAATCATTATCAAAATGATGTGATAGGATATACAGTCGAGATAAATGCTTGCTTAAATGTCTGCACAGTTACTGTGTGCACTATACTACTGTGTCTACAGGGTCTTAGTAATTAGTCAAAGCTCTCTTCCAAGATGACACATGCTTTCAGTCATCTGGGTGGCTTCAGACACCAGTCTCAAGAGCTGCTAAGTGTGGGAGGAACAGGGTTTTAGTCAGGAAGTCTACCTCGAGGGCAGAGAGAAAGTGACATTCCACTTTAGCCTTTTATCAAAGCCAAATGAGACGATCCAGCTCCTTAACGTGTCGTGTCAGCAGCAAAAGCTTCAGGATCCCACTCTTACATAGCTTATGCTTGTGATACTTAATGTTTTCTCAGTCTTCTGTCAAGTTGTAGGGAAAATTAAATCTTCTACTCTACTCTACCTGTGTTTGTAAGGGACACCAAAGCATAAGATTGCATCTTTATTTGCACAAAGTTTATCATCTAGCCCATTTATTACCTATTATGTACAAAAGAGACAAAGGTTTTATTTTATCTGATCTACCAAGCGGTTTTATAGGGGGTTATAGCCAGTGGCAAAGGCATGAAGAGATATGAATAATCCAGCCATGGAGCATGTGGAACTGACCCTCTGGATGATACAATGCCAAAAGAAAGGGAAAAAAAGTTAGTTTTTATTATCACATATGTATATCCAAATGACAGCTGTCAGTATTTTTTTGCCCAAAAGTAATCACTGAGTTTGGGCACTGTGGTGAACAATGGAGCTGGACGTGTTTGGTGGCACCTCCGACGTGTGCACGCTGCCCAGACCGGACTGACACATCCACCAAGGTGGCCACATTCTTCCTCACTGCCCATGCCCACACAAACCCACGCACTCACACACGCCATGTTTGGAGCAGACATCCAGCCAGCCACAAGCCAATACCTCAAAACATCCCTCACATCTGACCTTTTAACTGTGGACTTAAAATCCATGTAATTACAGAGTGTTTCAACTTAGCAAGTAAACATAGCAGCAGAAATAGACACTTCAACTACTATATACAAGTGTGCTGGTGCCAGGAGCACGTTTCTATTCATAGCTGACTGGAATTAGTGGCTTGTGTCACTGCTCGCCATAATGAATCTGCAACGGAGTCAGTTACAGTGTTGCAGACAGCAACTGAATTCTACAACCAATGGTCACACAAAACTACACTTATTGCACTTTTTTTTTAAATTCAGGAAAAAGTTTAGGTATTATAAGTTGTGTTTATTTGGCATCAAAGGGCAAACATACTGAAACACATCATTTCCTCCTAATTTCATAGTTAAGTTGCCTGCAATATAAAGTGATCCCTTTACAGCGCATGAGAAGCCCCTAAAACAATGGGAAGAAGGTTCAAATTGAGAACCATTAGATTTGTGTAAGCCTCAAAAACCAGCAAATGGTTACAAAAACTGACAAGTAACTCTAGGTTGATGTAACCATGTTAAATAGACTTGCAATTCAACTCTCAGAACAAAAAAATGTGTGCTTTCTGAAGGCTTTAAAGTAAAACAACAGTCTCTGAAAGTCTTCTAAGGCTTTTGTTTCTTTTACGTATTTAGAATTGCGTTTTAGGTGGAGGAAAGGTGGGTTTGACAGACAAGACAAATGACCCTTTGGGAGAACAGGCCTGGTCGGCTCCTTCTATAGGGTGAGGTCCTCTTTGGACTGTGGCACCTGTGGAGCATAAACACACCAGGGGGAGGACAGCTTTCCTTTCAGCGGGGCCGATCTTGTGTTTAGCTTTCCCTCTACTAAAAACATCCCCTAACAGACAATCCAGACCTCCTCCAGGAATGGCGCCACAGGAAGAGCTGAAAAACCCTGGAACCTCAGTCAGGGAGAGGCACAATGCACTCCAACTTCTGTTTATCCGAATCCGCTTCCTCCATTCCCTCCTCCTCAGGTGGCCTTGGAGCCCTGGTCACCAAAGCACGCAAACAAAAGGAGGATAAATAGACTGACAGGTCTCGGGGGGGATGTGGAGTCCATCTCTAGTATTTCCCTATATCCGGCTGGTAAAATAAGCAATTGGAATGGATTTGCATTGGGACTCTGTTAGCAGTGATTAATGGGTTCCCATAATAAGAAAAAACACATGGGTAACGTGCGTCTGCACATTTGAGAGTGCCTCTGTGTTTTCCATGGCTCGCTCTTGCACATGCACACTCCTTTGCATGTGCACAGTCTCACAAGGGCTGGACAGAGGCTGTACAAAGATGCTGATCTTGTCCGATTGGCGCACCTCTGAGTGCTCGGTGAAATTATTCTTCACTTGCTGCACGGGCCGGAGCGCAACCCACAGGGGAACTCGATAAACAAACAGCAGAGAATTATTCAGGGTTTAAACACTTAAACACCCACTACAGCAGAGTCTTTTAAGTGGGTGGTTAAAATGAGCACTAAACTCTCACAGAAAGCCCCAAACTACCACAGGGGCCCAAGTCACCAGGACCTTCTCCCCAACACACATACACAGCCCTTTATTTCATCGAACTATGGCGGCCTATTCTTCAACACAGTCAATTTCAAAGGTCTGACTAACAACAGCAGTCTGATAGAACAGTGTTTTCAGGATATCTGGTCATTTGAAGTAAACTGATGATTCCCCCCCCTCTCCCCATCACTTCAAGTTATGCCAATAGTCATTAATGAACAAAAAGGAGAGCATACATTGAAAGTTTGCGTGCCACATTTATGTAAACAGATATCAGAGACGGAACCAATCCATACCCACAACTGCTGAATCTTTAGGAAAGGAAAAAGGGCCGATGTTAGTGGGCGTGAGGGATACGTTTGCCTCATGTTAAAAGGATTCCAGCTCTCAAAAGTCTTTCATCTATCGGACTGACTGCAAGAAACTTGCAATTATCCATCAGTCTAAATATTTCAAACTTAATTTGTTCGCCTTTTTAACTTAATCTCTTGTCCTAAATGGAGAGGAAAATACAAACATCAAAACCCAGACCAGTTTGGCAATTAAAGAGCAGAACATCTTGAAATCTATGCCTTCTATTGGAGATGTGAAACGCCACCCTCAAGTGCACAACAAAGCCCTCAAACCACAGAGACACTTTGATCAACAGCTATCCGTTGCTCCAAACTGAGCATATATTTGGGGAAACAAAGCACAATCTCTGCAGCTAATCCCCCGAGATTCAGAGCGCATTCCCAAAGAAGCCTTTGATCTCTGGAGTGCATCCGGACAGCTGACTCCAGACATACTGCACACTTGCATGAACAGCCATGCACAAACATAAGCATTCCACTTGGACTATCAATGTGCCAAATCCGCGTTTATTTTTTTATGACACCTACCGTGACAGCTGATTATTGCTCCCGCAAGCTACAGCCTGTTAAGAGACGTCTACAGCTACAGTCCTGCATCATTTTAGAAACAGCCAATGTGGTGTCATGCTTTGGCTTTAACAAAAATGAGAGAGGTGGGGACCGCTGATCAAATTTATCCAGAGCTTCATGTACTCTGAACTGCCATCAATCTTTCACAGAAGATGCTATTCACAACAACTGTCAGTTATCCACTGTGCTTTGTCGCACAGGAGGAACTCTGCCAGCTTTAAATGACCGATGTGACAGACAATGCCTGATGTGACATGAAAGCCACCTCCACATCCTGGAACCTCCCAGTACGCCAGCTACACGGCTGTCAGCCCCAGACCTCTCATGGTGGGGAATTTTGTTTTAATTTTTTTCAAATCACAGAGCCCCTCTAGGGCCAGGTGCTACCCCTCCTCCCAAAGACTGGGGGCTTTTCTTCTCTTTAGAGTGTGGCTCCAAACTTTTCTCCCAGCCTCTTCAAAGAGCAACAACAGGGCCTCGGTCCCTTGGGACCGCAGAGGGGGTAGAGCCCGGTGGGAGTGGGGCATACGTCACACAGCACGCACAAGAGGCCAGCCGGTGGGAAAAGAAAATGCACGGGGAGAGGACAGAAAGGAGAGAGGAAGAGGAGCCTGTATTTGAAGGGTGCTTTCAGCTTCTAGACAAGGGCCTTCGCTTTGTGAAAACAACCAGGAAAGAAAAAGCACAACAGCAGAACCACATCGAAAGGGGCACGAAACCTGCCATGTCTTTTAATCAGACTTGGAGGCCAAGGCAAAGTGTTCAAAGGCTCCAGGCCGATGTCCAAGAAAACCTTTATACTTAAAAAAAAAAAAACCTTTAAATAAGAAAAGAAAAAAGCCTAAAACCGTACAACCACAGGGGCAATAGGAGCAGAAGTTCCACAGCAATTCCCTTTTGAGTTGCATTCTGTCGTCATATGTACCTTAGCTTTTTGTCTGCGCCCCACACAGACAGATGGAGCTTCTGTTGGAGAACAAAATCTAGGCCTTGGAATAGCAGGAGCCACAGCTTTGGCAGACAGGCCACGGAAGGTTTTTAAGAGAAGGAGGAGCCATCACTGTCAACACAAACACCTCCCCGAATCACTCACTTCAAATGCAGTCTCATTTCATTAACCTCAACCAACACAGGGCCATGGGGTAAACGCAATAAACAGATGGGGGACGGGGAGGGAGAAAGAGAAGGGATCAGAGGGCAGGGGCAAAAGGGGAAAGGGAGGCAGCACTTAGATGACTTGTGAGGAGAAGAGTCATTAAAACAAAGTATGTCTAAAGTTAGACTAAGCTTTGACATCTAAAAATCAAAGCCAAGGCAAAGTAAGGCAACCACGTAAACTAGCCACCAACAACTTGAACTTCCACGTCCTATGTTGTGAAAATCATCAGCCCTATCCATGTCTATGCCAGTAAAAGATTTCCACAGGCTGCAAATAACACTGCAGATTTATGGAGGGGTGTGGACGCTATGCCGTACGCTGGGGAGAAAGTGTGCTGAGGCTCACATGACCTGGATCTCATGTTTTGAGACCCGCAGATCCACCTGCCCACACCACTCACTCACTGTCCGGCATGCAGGCATCTGACCGCAGAACTCATGAATGGGTCCACGGCCTGCGTAAAACCATGGTCAACCTGCACCTGTAAGCGTCCGTCTCTCTGTGTACTTGGCTTCAACTTAAAGCGATAATGCCATCAAGCTGCAAATGTGAGCAATGCCTCACAACAACGCCTCCTTTGTAACATGCATTGTTCCGACTGGGATTCCGGCGCGGCTGAGATCCAGTGAAAAGAATTTCAAGTGTGGACTCCCCACTGTTGACACCCGACCCACATTCTCCTGGACCCTGGTTCAGCTGGGAGGGGAGCTTAAAGAACAGCAGCTATAAATAACTGTCTCACCAGGTATTCTTTACAACAGAGAGAAGTTTTAAAGCTTAGGCTAGGCTTGCATTCTCTCATGTCCGAGTTTAGCTTTTGAGCGTGAAAGCACATGGGCAGGTCGCGCTTTTAAACTTCTTCCCTATAAGCAAATGATAGGATGAATAGTTTTCTTTACTGGGGGAAAAAAGATTCCATTATAGGGGGAATAAAATAAACAATTCAATATGTAAGATCTATTTGAATAATTTAGGAGAAAAAGGGTGAGTTTCACAAATTACCTCAATAAATAAATAATAGTGTAAAATGTATCGCTATAATAGATGCATTTTTAAGATAAAAAGAAGAAATCCTTTTAAAAGCTGCTGCATCTGTCTGATTTAAGGCCTCACATTGAGATTTATATAAAGTGTTGGGGAAACTGGCAGGAGAACAAAAACAAGCCACAGAAGCACATTCAGTGCCATAAATGCCACGCAAATGGTTTTAAGTTAACCGCTCAGACTCAAAATTGTACAAAAACATCCCACCCTTTGTACAGAGGCCCCTCCATCCCGGGCCTCTCTGCACCCCACAGTTTGAGGAGGAGAGAAGACTATGAGCGTATAACAAACAAGGCAGCACGTTTTTCTTTGTGATAATAATTCATGGTCGATTCGAGGTTATACTTTGATTTTGAAATCTTAAATCCTCATCAGCTAACTAAACCTACAAACTACATAAACTGGAATGTCAATGGCATGGCCTTATGCTACAACACATTCTGGATTAATACTTGAGAGAAAAACAGCCCAAGCTAAAAACATTAGGCGCTGAAATTCAGTTGTGAGAGTCGTCTCTAGAACTTAAGGACACAACATCAGGTTCATCTCCAAACATCACAAAAGCAACCTTCACCTTGCAAAAGGTCCAAAGGCTTCACAAAGCCGGAGACAAAACAACCCAAAGAAATCAAGCATTTTTCCACTTTGCCATCTATTCTCCTAAATCCCATTACCTCCTCATATTAGAGGCACATCTTTCCAACAATCCTCCAAAGCATGTGTAATTCTGTCTCACTAGGCTGTTAAGCAGTTCAAATGAAGAGTAAAACATGACCTTTACTCACCAACCACAGCGTCCTATACATTTCCTCATAATATGTACAGGCACAACAACAAAAAATGTGCTTACAACATCAAACAGCTAAATGTCAGAATAAATTCTAGTTTACAACCCAAAGGAATTGTCAGGCGCGTTAAAGGGAATAACAGTGCCATGAAACATCACAACAGAACATCACAATGGGTGCGCCAGTGTGTTCAAAATGCGGCAGATCCTGAATTTTGAGCCCTGTTCAATAAATAGATGCGTTCCCGTTCAAGATGTCTGAATCGTGGGTGGAGGAACTGATTTCCCTTTTTCTCCTGATGGGCTGCGGTTCCTCAAACACGCTGCCTTTGAGGAAGGCATCTCTAACCAAAGAGGCTTAAAGGCTCCTCTGAAGCAATTCCAAAGGATTTCCCCACTTGACAACAACAGCTCCGTTTTTACTGCACTGCCAAAATACAAAACAAGCATGACCTCCGACATTTCTCGCCAGCTTTTACAATGCACACTTGTCACCAGATTGTCACTCAGCAAAGCTTTTCAACTGCTCTCAACTTTTATTGTTACTTAAATTACAGGGAGGGGGGGGGGGGGGTAACAAAAAAAAGACAGGCAGATACCTACAATGTTCCTTTTAGGTGTAATGCACGTTAAAATAACGTAAAGTAAAGGAGTTTTAAAGTAAATCGTTTTAAAGCCAAACCTCTACAGTTAGACCAGCGGGCACAAACGAGGAATTTTACAACTAGCATCGATTATTAAAAAGCGAGCTTTGAAATGGGCTAAATTTGAAAAGTTCGCTATGGTCGCTGTGTTCAACCGGCGTCACTCTGCTTTGAAATAAATGCGCATCTTTGAAGAGGTTTTTAGAAAATTCGAGGAAAATTCCGAACGTTAGGAAGAAGGGGGAAAAACAAACAAACCAAAAGCAGAGCCGTAAATGTAGCCTCGCGCTAAAGTGCTAATTGAGAGCGCAAAACGTCACGCGCGCACAAGTGTGTTTAGGTAACAAAAAGTAAAAAAAACAAATAGTTTAAAAACGAACTTATGAGGGTTGAAAGACTTAGTCTGGAACAAGTCCAGTCTTACTCACCCGTGCAGTCAACCCGCAGTTATTCTTGAGGTGACAGTCCTGTTGCTCGAGACGGGAGCTCGTGCAGTAGTATTTCTGTTTCACGAGCCAGTCATCGATTCCCTTCCTCGCCAAACAGGCATTGACTACAAAACTGTCGCCTGGAAACACAGAAGCGCAACTATTAGCGGCAACATTGTCACCGGCGACACGTTTTCTTACAAACTCGTCCGTCTTCAATTAGACTCGGACCCTCCGCCGCGACCGCGCTCCACTGAGTGTGGAAACTGTTCCGCTCTTCACAAAGTGACCCAAAATTCGAAGAAAAATCTTAAATGCAAGTGAGGGAAAAGACGTAAGGGTAAAAGTGCTTACCTTCTGGACTCTCTCTCGGTTTACATATAGCGGCTTTTGGGAAAGAAACACAAGAGACAATGCGTGTGTTACTAGAAAGTATCGCAACACCGATGGAACAGCTACAGTTTTAATTTTCTCCCTGGAGCAAGACATCTTACCATGTTTCGAGTGCAGTTTACCCATTTCTATACATCGAGGTGGAGTTGAAAAACCATCAGATGAATATAATCCAAGGAAACTAAAGGAGAGGGTCAACGATATCCAGACAGTGAAGCGTCCGTGGAGACAGAGCAGACTACACTCAGCGTAAGACCGCGCGACTGGGGAGCCAAGCGAGCCTTTGATCCACCGACAAGACCAGCGGAAGACAGCAGGCTGAGCAACTTCCTGTTGAGACTGTCAAAGTAAAACACACCGACTTGATTAGTCCTTACGACCCAAGAGCTTTGTAAATGCTGGACCAGAAGACACGTTCAACCCCCTCATTGTTTAGTTATGTAAACTATCTTTAATCGCACATGAGAGAGATTAATTACTACAGTAGTGCAACTGCCAAATACAATCAAACGAGGCGCGCCATTTCCGGAACTACGTGCTCTATGCCATCCAACTTGACGAGCCTCGTTCAGCATTCTTTTTCGCCCCTGTTGCAAGTGTCTGTCAAAAAGTATCGAAGGTGTCCACAGAACGTTCATTTCACCCGTAGGATTTACACACGGCCCCCAATTGCAAACAAATGCGTGTAAACCCTGAAAGTTGTCGCTGAATCACTGAGATGGGGCCCCGGGGGTCCTCTGCCAGTTCGCGCGTGGGATCCCAGAATTGCGGCTCAAATTACCCCAAACCACAACGTGCAGTTTGTCACGTTTTATGTGAGTGATGAATGCCTGTTGGCGACGACGGCGGAAAGAAAGTTGCAAAAAGTGACCCCAAGATCGAACAGGACTGGTTACCACAATATACATATATGTTACTTTCTTTACTTTGGATCGATCGATGGTAAAATGAAAAAGGGCAACTTCGACATCGTCGTAAAACCTTTCTTCACATTAATTTGGGAACATATCAACACGTTCCGAGTGAAATCGGCCTCCTAAGGTCAAAAACAAATCACGAGGCTCTGTGCTCGGTGCTCATCTCCCTGGGGTATTTGGTACGAGAATAAGGGTCTTATTGGAAAGGCAATAGATGAAAGAAAGCTAAGATGCTTTTGATGTCTTCAGACATACAGTATAAGACAGCAACCAGTGTTCCATTTCATGCAAGGTTGCCAGTATCGCAGTGTGACAGTAATATAGCACACAGTGGGCATTGGAGTCCCTGAAATAATCATTTTTGTTACAGATGTTCTGCTAAGAGATTTGTAATGCTCTACACATCACTGGTGCAAGATCAAACTTTCTCATCCTTTGACTCAATCAGGAATTCTTGCAATGTTATATCTGTAAATTACTACTGATCCTTTATCATAAACGCTGTGTGTTGCTCCTCTTATGTACAGTAAATGTATCTCTATTGAACTGAAAATAAAGTGTGTTCTTGTTCATTTAAAAGTGAAAGCAATCAAATTCTTATGATCTATAAAATTGTTTTGTCAGCCGCAAATACGATTGAGCTGACCATATAGAATGCCTTCAGGACTTCAGCCAAATGAAGAAACACATTGACTATCTGGAAGGGTCTTAAGGTTCTTTAGACTCTTTAGCCTTACACAATAGAAAATGAACCCCCTAGTATGTATAGTATTAAATGAAAAATAACAGGACCAAAGATTGAAGAAACAAAAAGTGCCATGTTTTTACAGCCACTGTTCACTAAATTCAGTCATCATTTGTCATTTATGAGTCTGAGTTTTGCATGTCTTTGATGTCTTAAAATTTGCACACCTTTTAGCAATGTCTCTTTCTGGAGTATTTGAGTTTCCACCCCTTCCCCTTATTTTAATTGTGGGCCTCCAGCACCACTATGTCAATCATAACCTTTACAAATTCTGTTCAGGACTCACACAAGCATTTACATAGATTTACATTAAGAAATATGTGTGTTGGGTCCAAACTGTTTTACTAAATTATAGATTTGGACAAACAGTTTTTCTTATTCTGTCTGTCCAGGACTTTTCAGGTATGTCTAAAATCACCATACCATGGCAGAGATGGACTCTGTATATATGAGGTAAGTAAAAGCTTAAAACAACACCAACAACACTAACATATTGCAGATAGGGCAAGCCAGGCAATAATATAGCTGACTGCTCTGTGTTCATCACAGAAAAGGGTCTTCTGAGAACCTGGGTGCGTAGTATGGTGGTGTGATGGTTAGCACTGTCAGCTAACAGCAAAATGGTTTCTGGTTCAAATTCCTAGATGCTGCTCCTGTTTGGGGACTTTACATGTTCTGTCAATGCATGGGTTCTCTATATTCAGCCTACCTCCCACAGTTCCAAAACATGCACGTCAGGTTAAGTGGTTATTTTTAAATTGATCCAAGGAGTCAGCGTGTGTGGTTGATAATATTGCGAGGCCCTGATGAATCGACAAACTGTCCACGGTGTCCAATGTTTTCCAATTTAAAGTCGAAGGACAAAAGGAACTCAACTCAATTTACATAATTTGTACTTATCTGAGATCTGATAATAAATCTAAGGATTTTTAAAGGAAAATGACTCCGGGTAAAATAAAGATGGTGGAAAGCTAAAACTCATTTCGATATCTGCCAAAACAAATTTGTTTCCTCACTTCAAAGTACCATACTCCTGTTTTACACAGTCTCATTTTTGTCATTGAGAGTGTTTTTATTTGCTAATGGTATTAGCTAATTTAACACAATGCTGTTTAATAGGCCAAATGAAATGTTAAGTTTTTATTATGCTGCAGTTCTTAAAGATGTAGTGGAGCACTTCAATCTGTCTATCTATTCTGCCTTTAAGCCTTTTAAGCCATCAGATTGATGTGTACGGCTAACTTCTGCTTGGAATCTTTCCAGCTTCATTGGATAGAGCATTTACAGGCAGATCCCCTCTAAGTAAGACTGTTTAAAAGTTGCTTTTAATCAAATACTTTCTTTTGGAGGAAATTACATGTTCAAGCTTTTAGAAAGCATCACATCCCAGCACTGAATCGCCTCCCATCACAATTTGAAATGACATCCGGCCGAGAAATCCTTCAGCTCATCTCAGCTCAGAAAAGTGGAAATTTAGCTTGAGAGCCTCCACACTTTGTCAAGTACTCAGAGTGGATAGAAACGACCCAAAAAGTTCATAACAGCAGCACATTTAAAGAACGACCCATCACTGACAGTAGATTACCACATGGCATACCGTCTACATGGAATGAAATATAAACCTAAATACAGCTATCAACAGCTAACAAAAAAAAAAAACAGGTAAGCAGAAGAAACAAAATATTTGCTTTTCTTAGGACTGCAAAATTGTACGTCCCCCAGGACTTTAGAGTAGATTAATTGGGCAGAACAGGCAAATAACTCCTCTTGCTGTCTGGAGAATTATTTTCATGAACATTACTGTAAGCATTATTTTTCATGTTTTCCGTTTTTTTTACTTTCCTTCTGATTGTCGTTGCACTGCGCTGATGTTTTTTTCCCTTTAAATCTTGATTGAAAATATTTTGACTTCACTCCAGTCATGAAATGTGACACAATGAACTTGTCATATCACTGTAAACCCTTAACTTTTTGCACTCTACAGTGACTGCTCACATACAGCGTGGTCTGATTTAAATACAAACGAACGGCAATAACAGGTCCTGAAAATCTGTAGATAAGAGAGATCTACCCACAGGTGACATGCAGTATATGTATGTATCTGAGGAGGATGAGTGTCAAGCAAAGTTAAGATCAAACATGTAATCAGGTCTCAATTTTCAGCCTCCAACACCTCTTTAGGGGTAAGGCTATACCCTGGATGCATGTCCCTAACGCAGCCCTGTCGTTGCATACTACTCAGTGATTTCCACATCATGACTCTATCATCACATGTTGTAGCAAGAGGAATCAGGCTTCCCTTTGAACTAGCCTGCCACAGACACACAGATGAGCTTGTTATTATAGCAACTCGCCTAAATTTGCTGGGAAAACGGGGCTGTCCCTCTGACACACTTCCTGTCCTTTGAAGAGGCCAACGGAGAGATGGCTTTGCGGGCCCTATTTCCAAGCTTTGCCTTTGATGCTTGTGAGAGCGGAGGTGGCGGGGGTTTAAAGCCATCTCAAGGACATGAACCCCCAAACCTCAAATCAATCCACATTATTGTGGGACAGAGTTATTATGGCCTGACATACCATCAAATCGGAGAACAAATTAAGTAAATGTCTAGCTTTTATTGAGGCATTTGTCACGTGCAAAGGAGACTCATCACTTGATTTCTGTTTGGTCTCTTATGTGGTACCAAACTGAAATAGAACAAAGCCATATTCTGTAGACACCTGCCTGATTGATGTAGGTATTTATTGGCCTTGGGGACTGGCTAACTCAGTGGCCACCTTTGGCTCATTAGACCATAAAAAGGGGGCATCTCCCTGGAAACAAGGAAAAAGGAAGATGGCCAGATTCTTTGGAATCCAATGGTGGGTCTGTGTTTATGTTCTTGCAGCAGCGTTAGGGGTCCGATGTCTAGCGAGCCCATTGGAGGGAATGCTCCTCGGAGGTGCAGAGGGGGGGTGTGAAGCATACAGCGGGAGAGCAAAGGGAGAGGAGAACAGCTGCTGGCCGCGAAAAGCTCAAACATGTGACTGTTGCCTTTATCTTCAGGAACAAAAGGGCGTGAGTGTTGTAAGGGGTGAAAGACAAT